CGGAGCCGGGACCGGGGGCGGAACCGCGACCGGAGGCACCGAAGGGGGCAGTGCCGAGTCAGAGGGGGCGAAGATCGACGCCAGTAAGAACGAGGAGGATGAAGGGTGAGTAAGGGGCGGCCCGGGATAGTGAAGCCCAACTAGCCCCCAACCCCCCACCGCCAGTAGGCCCGGTTCCCGCTCTCCGCCTGCCCTCCAGGACCCCGAGCGACCTCTTAGCACCGATCCCGTTCTCTACGTTGGGCTCTTCGGGGCCGTCGTTTCCTCCTTGCTCTGCCTGCTACTGCCCCCTCCCCCATCACACACGTTTCCACCTTTAGCCGTCACCATGCTGCTCCGTGGCCCGCCCTCCTTTCCTCCCTCGTCTTGGGTCTCCTCCCACCGATTTAGCCGCCAAGGATTTTTTTCCCGCCTGTCGAGGGGCATTCTCTTTTCCCGCTGTACCGTCCCTTCCATGTTTTCTAAAAGTCCTGGGCATGAAAACGCGAACAGACAAAAGCCTTTTTACCTGGATCACTGAGATTTGTGTGTTGCTTCTCCATCATCTCGAGACGACGCGATTGTTCATTAGCCTAAGCTCTGGGGACCGTGTAGGCAGGCTGTCCACCTTTTCTCCCGCGTAGGCTGCAGCCCGAACGATTTTCAGCATTTTGAGTAAGTTTCACCGTAGGGCTTGCTTTCTCCACTGTGCACCACCGCATAGCATCACGCGCCCGTAGGCCCTGTGTTTGGACTTAAGAAATCGGACCTGTCGACAAGCCCCGAGTGTCCTGCTGTCCGTTGGTTTTGGTCCGCAGGCTCATTGAGCTCCCAGTTGGCGGGGCCTGCACTTGACTTGGAGCTGCTGCTACTCCGGGGCCTGCTGGCTGCCTTTCCTCCACTCGGCTGAGTTATTCTAACCGCGCACCCTTTTCGCGCTCTCAGCTGTTGGGTTCCCCAACTTTCGTACACATTGTACTCCGACCTTCCTTTTCTGTGCAACTTAAATTACTGTTTTGTTTTTTTTTTTAAAAACACCATTCCTTACTCCGACTTAGGTGCTAAGGATCCTTTTTTGGTCTCGATTTTTCCTTCCTGTCCTCTTACCCCCTATTAAAGGAGGCCCAACCACCTTATCTTAAAATAAATCCTGTATTGTGCTCCTGGATAAATCTTTTTTTTTTTTTGCAGGTTTTTAAGTACTAACTTGCTTTCTGTAACTGGAGTAATAGTTGTATATAGTACCTAAAACTGCATTTAATACATTTAAATGCAGCATTTGGGAGGGGAATCGTATACTGGAGTTTGTAGGAGGGACTAAATCAGAGTTCTTGGTTGGTTGGTTTGATTTTAATTCCTGTTACTTACTGCTGATTTTGGATTAACGCTTCCATTCCTTTTTGTGATGGGGGTGAATGTGTGTGTGTGTGTGTGTGTGTGAATTATTTTTTTTCTACTCTAAAGGTTGTATTAGGTAAAAGTAATAAAATGTTGCTTTAACCCAGTATTATAAAACATGATTTCTTTTACTGGGAAAAAGCACAGATTGAGAGGGGTCTTTGGGGAGGGGTAGAGGCATTTTGGTATATTAGGATTTAATAATCCCAGCCCAGGCAGACCCTTGTCCGGCTGTTTTGGTGATCGTGCTGACTTTGGGGAAGTGGAGGTGGGAGGGGAAATGAATTTTTCTTAAATAAACAACTAATCTTGAATTTATAGCTAATTTGAGAAAGGAATGTGTTAAGTATTTCGAAGCTTAAGCCTTAACATTTGGATTTTTGTTTCTGAATTCTGTTCTTTGGACAGAGGCACCAGAATGATAATCCTGTAACTTGCTGTTGGGGGCAGGTTTTCTATTAGCCCTGAGTTTTTCAAATCACAAAGCAGCTGCCTTTGTTATCTACTGTTGAACTGAAGTGTAAATGAATTAAAGTTTTTAACCCTAACAGTGTCAAAAACTAAAACTAGAATTTTGATTGGTTGCTGTACCGGTTGTTAATTCCCTAGCCATTCAAACTCCTCCCCACGACACACTGAAGCAGCGACGGCACAGCGGGAAGAATGGTAAAACTTTTAAATTTTATTTCTGTATTGTAAAGATTTTCATAGTCTTAACATGCAGAGGCTGTGACTTGGTTAGTTGCCCATTGATCCCCAGGAAATTCTAGAGATTAGTGCAGTAGGCTATCTTGTACCTGGGATATAAAACCTTTTTAGGCATTGGTGTAACTTTTTGGACAAAACTGATGCCATTACATGGTATTTGGTCTGTGGTAATGCATGTAATTGCAGTTTGGCCAATTTAAGCTAATATAGTTAGTATTTTTATATCTGGGCAAGAAAAATACTATTGTAATTGCACATCTTAATTTTTTTGTTAAGTATTTTTCTTGGAATTCTTAAGTTTAATGCTAAATATGAAGACTATCTAAAATACTTAAAATGTCTTGCATGTTACACTGAAAAGTTCTTGGCAATGTGAAAAGTGTAATTCTTTAAGTAGTACTGTGTGTATAATGCAAAAATGTTTGTCTTTTGCCACCAACCATATTTGTAAATATACCTTTATTAAGAATTGGATTTGTACCATTCAGAGGTGGGCTAATGTGGCTTTCCACTACAGCTCTTACCAGATTTTTTATTTTCAGTGTGATTTGGCTGGAATGTTAATTACAGTTGGTTGACATATATTCACAATTGCATGACTTCTCTTTGGAGGCTGGTAGGTTGAGTATTGTTCTTTTTACCCTGCCTTTTCCCTCCCCTAAATGTCAAGTCTTTCTGCCTTTAGGATTATGTTTGAATTTCTCAGGGGTTTGTATCTACCACCTCTGGGCAATAGAGGGCCAGTAATCTGCAGGTAGTTGTTAAACATCCTGTGAGTTCATTTGGAATAACATTGAGTTTTACACAATTTACTTGTTACTGTATTCTCATCCACTGAAATCTGTCCAGTTTTGATGGAGATAAAATAGTCTGGAAACAATCTAAGAAAAGCAAAAAGGAAAAAATGAAAGACTGATGTCAGAGTTTGACGTGCACAGTGAAAATATTTAGATGAACATTATTCCCTCCATTTGGTGACTGGGGCCACTGGCAGTTTGATTTCACTGCTAGCTAATAGTGGCAAATTAAGATTAAACTGTAACTGCTATCCTTCATATTACATTTTTTCAGACCTTTTGGTAGTTATTCTTGATAATTTGAAATAACTAAACTTTTAGGTTTGAAGGTTGGTGTTAGAAAAATTATACTGGCTCCATTACCTAAGACTACATTACTTTGTAACCTTTTTTGGTGGCCTCTTAGGAAAAATGGACAGTTACATATTTAAGAATTAATGAACAGTTTAGGTTATGACTAGTTGTCATCCACTGAAAATAAGATTTTACTGAGGTTCATTTGAAGTCAAGTAAGTTTACACTTAAAAATAACGGAGTCCTAATTTTTAAAGTCTAATAATTAAAAGAAAAACAGCCCAATCACCCAGCCCCATTCTGTTCCAGATAATACTTACTTTTGAATGTAAAGCCTCAAGACCTTTACACTTCTCTCCCCATGTGTGCATTTGCCACCCTATTCCTTTCCGTCTCCTAGTTTGAGGAATATTGGGTTGCAGTGTGGTAATATACGGTATTTGCTCTATAATGCAGTCTGAGTGAGAAGACTTAAGTTTAACTTCTTAAACACAACTGTGCATTTCCTTTTAAAAATTAATACAAGAGTAAAGTGATTACAGTTTCATCCTATGATATTTTAAAAATCAGTTTGTTGTAGACTTTTTCTCCTTTTGCATATAAGAATGAATAGCTGTTTTTAGGAGGCATCTCTTATATTTTTAGTAAATGTTTCTGCAATTTACTGTGGAGCTTTATAGTATTCATTTCCATAGTAAATGCCTTGATCTCTCTCTAATTTTTATATCATTAACATCCCTGACTATTTAAAAGCAGTTACATTTCTCATCTTTGTTGTGTAAATGTATTTGGTTTCTGCAGAGCTATAGTTCTTTTGGAGTAGGTACTTTAAAATTACTTAGTATCTGTATACATGCCATATAGTAAGCTATCTAGGGGAGAATTCTTAAGATTTAAACATTAGTGGAAAACTAGAGTATTGAGTTAGCTTTCAGATAGTTTTTCAGGGAGGTTCATTGAGTTTCCTGCGTTGGATTGGGTAGGAAACAAAAGTAGTCCCATTTAGTTATCAGCCAAAGTACAGCAATACTTAGTCTACTACAGAACAGTAGATGTGGTAGAATAACCATTACTGTATAGCCCCAGTGTGGTTATTCCCATTTGGGATTTTGGGAATTTTGCATAGGTTGTTTCCTATCTAATTTTAGAACAAGATGCTCACATATGAATTAAATACTTAAGATTATAATCTATGTCCTAGTGCTTCTGGGACAATCAGTGTTGTTTGCTTTGTAAAACAATTTTGGAGCAGTTTCATGCCAAGTAAGTCAGTTTACTGTAAACAGTGCCATTGAGACTGAGCAGTTGGCATTGTTTGGACTTCTGAGAAGTTTCCTGGGTTAAAATTTACCACAAATCTTGAGATAATGAACATTTAAGGGAGAAGTATTAATTTTAAATTCTTTAACTGTTACAAAACATACTTAAAAACCACCTGGTCTTTTAAGTTTGGAGTTGGAGAATGTCATTGAAATGATTGTTAAGATGAACATACTTGCCTTAAACCTGGTTTTTGTTTCCCTTCAAGCTATGTGACTCGTTCTATAAACTTAGTTTATATATTTGAGATTCTCTCATCTGCAAGGCTGCCCTAATACAAGAACATTTTAAGTTTATTATTTTGGCATGTGGCTTATAGCAGATGAAGGATGATTAAATTTAGCTTTCAAGTGATGATACTCGCCGTGCTTGAAAGCATTTACAAAGAACTAGAATGATAACTTTTCCCCATTCCACTTTAGTTTGTGCATTTCAAGTATACAGATTCACAAATGGAGTGAAACATAACTGTTAGTCCAAGTTTGATTTCACTAGTTCTGCTTCAACGTTTTAGTAGATAGGGCAGTGAACTGGATGCTGGAAGCGTGGGATCTCTTTCTGTTACTTCACTTCCAACAGTGTGGTCTCAGGTAATATGTTTGTTACTTGGTTTGCTGATGTATGTGTTGGAAAAGATGTTCACAACAGGAAGATTGACTACATAGCCTGCTTTCATAGCTTGTTTGTATGTAGCCTGTGCCCTAATAGTTGATACTGCCAGTGATTTACTCCTGTGGAGTAGAGGTAAGCATGTTTTAGTTTCTGGAGTATTATGTTATATGTTAGAGCTAGGAATTGAAAGCATTTGGGGGTGGGGTGGGAAGACAGACTTACTAAAAAGCAGAGATTGGCCATTAATCAAGGTGATAGTTGTATGAGTTATATCCTGTAAACTCCTGCTTATCTAGATTTCAAACCACTGAAAAACCCAGTTAGGAAATCCAACTGCTCTTCCCCCTTTTAGTCTTGTGAGGTGAATGAAACCATCACCAAATATACTCAAAAGGCAACCAACAGTGTCATGGAATGAATCTCCTACAAATTTTTCCTTATACTGTTGAAAAGTGATGTGATTTTAACGTATTGAAAGATCCCAAAAGTTCAAGAAAGGTAAAAATAATTTTCTGATTTTTGTAGCTTTGATAACCTAAATTGCTTTCCAATGAAAAATCTTTGTGGAATTGTTGAGATGTAGTAATCTCAGTTAACCAGACCCTTAAACCTCTAAGTTAAGGAGACTCCATTCCTTAACCTCTAGGTAAATGGGAGTTTACTATATAAGGCTGATGGATTAAAAAGTAAAAATACAAGATGTCATTGCTTCTTTGTAATAAAATCACAAGGAAAACTTGGGCTAAGCATTTACAGTTTATTTTTAAAACTCACGTTTAACTTAGTTATCTTTTTTTTAAGTCAGGTTCATGTAACGCATGAAGTAATGCCATTTAATAATGGAGGAATTAATTTTGGCTTTGAGAATGTTCGATCTAGTATAGTCTTGATTAAAAATAGGATTTCTTTTTGGGACCAGCAGTTGGCATAATGGCTATGTCGCTGGACTCCCACGTAGTTGACCTTGGTTCAAGTCCTGCATCCGGTGGCTTAAACTCACACTGGGCGCATGTGCATGTGTGTGCCCAGAAGGGATTGTGGCATGGCCATCCCCCCTGGGGGGTGATTTCTCACTTCCTGTCTCTCTGGCGAGCGCATGCGCCTTATAGCAAAAACCTCTAAAAAGAAAAGAAAAACAAAATCAGGGATAAAAGTAGGATTTCTTTTCACACTTAACCTTGAAAATGACATCTTAGTATATATGGAAAACAGAGGGAGGAATACCTGTTTTTTAATAATATGGAAGTAATATAGAATTGAGATTATGTGTTTTGTGGGGAGAGTTTGTTTACTGGCAAACCTTAATGTATTACTAGTTTTAAATAGTTAAGATATTTTTGTGTATTACATACCAAAAGAGATTAAAAAGACTGATTATTTTTGGCTTGTTAAAAATTTGACAAGATATTTCCAAGGGTAAATTCTAAAATCAGTACCCTACTACATGACTTTAGCTAGTTGCAAAGTAAACCCCCCCCACATGTTGTAAATAGTGACAACTTTAAAAGAATTTTAGAATTTTGGGACCAGCGGATAGAGTAATTGTTACTTTATTGGACTCTCTCATAGTCGACCACGGTTTAAAGTCCTGGACCTGGTGGCTTAAAACTCACACCATGTGTGAGTGAGTGTGTGTGTATGTGTGCACGCACCCAAAATCTCAAGAGGAGAATGGAGGAAGGAATTGTGGCGTGGCCATCCCCACTGTGGGGTGATATCTTGCTTTCTGTCTCTCTCACAAGTGCACGCACCCTATAGTAAAAAAATCTCTTAAAAAGTTTTAAATAAATCTAGAATTTCTAAATACAGATGCTCATATCTTCTGTGCTGGTGAGATCTCATTATAGTTTGTCATTTTAGGATTTTAAAATAAATACAGTGATAAAATGTAAGAAAAATTATTTAAATAAGGATTGGTGTTGTGCTTGAGTAACA